GGCTGCGAGGAGGCCCGCCACCGCCGATTGGCTGCGAGGAGGCCCCGGCCACTGCCGATTGGCTGCGAGGAGGCCCGCCACCGCCGATTGGCTGCGAGGAGGCCCCGCCACCGCCGATTGGCTGCGAGGAGGCCCCGCCACCGCCGATTGGCTGCGAGGAGTCCCGCCGGACCACTCCGGCGGGTCGGGACAGCGAAAGCGAGGTCAGCTGACTCGGCCGAGCGCGCGGAGAGGAAGCCGCGGGCCGGGGCTGGGCAGGCGGTGGGCTTGGCCTTGAGCTTTTTGTTACGTGGCTTTATCGCTTCCTTCCCCCGCCAAAGGCCGAGGCCCGTTCTGCCCGTTGTAGCGCCGAACACCCCTTCCTCACCCGGGGGCTCGGCCGAGGGCAGAGGGGCGGAGCGGGCGCAGACCGTGGGCGGAGCCGCCCGAGTCCTTGGCTTCCTGCTGACTTTCCCCGGGCTTCCCTGGCGTGGCTATGGCCACAGACACCGCTCTTCGAGCCCTTCCTGTGCATCAGGCAGGCTTTGTGCATGGTTTGTTTTCCTGCTGTTTCAGGGCCACGCCGTGAGCATCACCAGCCCCCAGTTAACAGATGAGAAAACATGCAGTTCGGGGAACTAAGTTTGCTGAATGTCCAGCTAGGGAGCGGTCCAGCTGGGATTGGCAGCAGACGGCTCCTGCTGTCTGACTCCCACGCTGTGCTCTCCTCCCCCTGCAGTGCCCTCCGGGTGAGGCAGCGCCGGGACCACGCCAGATTCTACCCTGGAGCCACGTTGTCTCCAAAGATATTTGGGGGGCCAGGCCAGGAAATAACCCCAGCTCTAGGGCATTATTAGAACAGATTTTTCCCTAGAGCCTGTTTGTTTGGCACAGGGATGTAATCAAAGCTAGTGATCTGGAATTCCTTCCTGGCTTCTCCAGGAAGCATCCTGACTTGGGGCACATTCCTCGACTCATCCTTGAGCCCCTTCCCCACTCCTTGACCTTACAGAGAATGAAGGAGGCATTGCATTTCTCCGCAGCCTCTCCAATCGGAACTCACCTGCGAATCAGACATAAACATTATGAGTCTGAGAAAGGGAAAGTGAGACATAGGGAGCTTCAGTGCCATCAGCCTCCCGTGCTCAGAGGGCTTGCGAAGGACAACAGTCTCCCAGGTCCTATCCTGCGTGTCCCCACCGAACAGACACAGCTCACATCCCCGGAGAAACCTCTGCTTGGTGAGAGGGTAGGACTGTTTGAGAAAGTCTAAGTGGCAGGTTTGTAAAGTAGAGACATCCTAAGTGGAAGCCAGGGTTTTTGTTCTGATGAGACATTAGTAAGGCAGTGGCTGGTTTTTATTATTTAAAAATAGTACAAGCAAACTGCCAAGTAACTCCACCTGTAAACAGTTACATACGAGAAAAGCCAGAAAATCACCTGGAGAACTCGTATCTTCAGGTCTCTAGACAAAGGGTATGCAAACAACTCACAAAGGTGTCTCCTACCCCATCTCCCACCTACCGCGCCCATTCATCCAGTACTGAAGTTAGGAGCTGTCTGCAGCATGGCGCCTCGGAGGGGGTGGGGTGGGAATGGTTCTCCTTTTCCATACAAGTAAACAATATGAACACAACATTTAAAAATTAAAAAAATACAGAGAAATGGAGAGGAGTAGAGGTTACCAGGCACCTGAGATGAATTGATGGCTGTAGTTAAAGGCCCTGAAGCCATGGAGGGGGAGGTCTGAGCAGCCCACAGTGATGTTCCTCCAGGTGTACTGTGTTAAAAACAACAACAAAAAAAACTGCACTTTCACTTTTCTCAGGCCAGAACCCTTTTTAAAGCCTCAGTCTCCACATTTGTAAAATAAAGACTTTGGTTAAGATGGTTCCTAAGCTGCCCTCCGGAGTTTGGAGCCTCCTGATTCTGCGTAGCCTGGGTATTTTCATTAAACGATGCTCAAGTCCGCCGTCTCAACAACGTGTTAATCGTCTGACCAACTGCTCAGCTTCCCTGCTTTATGAGGTCATCACCACCAGTTCCAAGTGCATTTGGCTGCCAGAGAGCAAGCATTCCATGTATGAACTGGGGGTACATGTTGTGATGATAGGGCTGGCAAATTTGAGGCGTGCTAGACAGCACTAAACACACTGCAGTCCTCAACACACTTTTTATTGGAGGCTTGGGCCTGGGGCAAAGCCTCCTGCCTCACTTTTACATAGCGTTGGTCTTCATGCCTCCGGGCTTGGAGGAGCCAAGAATCAGAGTCCTAGAAATCTGACGCCTGCCTACGATCCTCAGAAAGTTATCAGGTCTACCCACCCCCCACCTGCCATCAGGTGGGGGTCTCTGTGCCTGGACCATCATCAGCCTTGTCTGTCAAGCTCACGTTCTACTCGGTAGGATCCACAGCTGGGGCTAAAACCGTCCTCAGGTGGAAAGTCTGCCGCAGAATCTATGTATATCACATGACTAAACACAGTCGTGGCGAATGTCATGATCTCTCGGTAACAACCCGCACATAGTTTCCGGAAGGCATCAGTAGCTCCTTATAGGTACCACAAACCTTCCAATCTACAGATAAAGCCATAGGTGAGGGAGGGAAACAGGATTCTTTTTTCTTTTCAGTTAATTGTCTCACAGGGTTCTGAGTGCCATCACAGAGGCATACGATGGAGAAGGAAGGAAAGGGTGGGGAGGGGCACATTGTGGGACACCTCCGGCATAGCGGTGAAGCATCCAGGCTCTGGAGCTCGGCTGCTTGGGCTTGAATCCTGGGTCTTCCATTTCCATGCTGTGCTAACTGGCACATTACTGAACCTCTCTGTGCCTCAGTTTCTTATAGGACTCTTCTGAGAGTGCAATGAACTAATTCATGTGAAGCACTAAGAACAATGGATGCCCATGTAAGGGCCGTATGAGTCTGATTATTATTGTGGCAAGTCCTCTGCTGACTGCCTTACACATATTATTTACTTAACACTAACAACAAGTCCTTTTGGAAAGGAAAATACAGGAAATCACTGAGTTCTCCATGAGTTATAACAATGTCTGTGACTGGGGGTCTACCCCAGATATTCTGACAAAGCCCTTGTTTCTTCTGTTAGTCCTTTCTGCATACAGGGGTTCATACTCTGCCTGATTGCTTTTTTTTTTTTGACACAGTAATATGAACTGGAAATCTCTCCATGTCAGAATATGCGGACACATCTCATGCTTTTTTAAGCACTGCCCAGTATTACATAATAAGGACATACAATAGACTATTTACATGTCTCCATGTATTTACGGTGCACCCACTGTTTATTGTGTCCAACAGGATGTGGGGCAAAGCAGCACAGAATATGTTCCCCAAGGAGCTTGTAATTTTGTGGAGGGATTCAGGGCTTAGATGAAACAATCAGAGACCAAGACAAGAAGATATGTAATAAAATATTCAGTGGAATTTAAAACTAAGTGCCGATGCTACTGATTTAATAGGAATAACAGATTGTATATAGCAGTGGAGCCCAGGGCCTGCTTCCTGGAAGGCCTGGCTGGGATAGAGAGGAAATTTACCCGTAAGTTCTTCCCGCCTCACTGAAAAATTACTCAAGACAAGAAGGACAAGTCTGCGCTCCCTTGACAAGCTGCAACACAGCAGCACTGGTGCCCCAGCAGGAGGAGGAATGCAGCTGGCCTGGCTGTCTCCTGCAGCCTGGGAGGCATGGAGGCAGCGCCCCCTTCTCACCTCCATCTTCCCAGA